CCCCAAGTCCATAGGCAATGCCTCATGAACACTATATTTGTTGGTGCTTTCTTCTATCAACACACCTGATGAGACCTGGAGACATGCGTGAGAGGCCAGAGAGAAGGGTGCTGCCTCCCTGGAGCCTGGGGTCAGTGGGAGACAGATGCTGTCTATACAGTGAGGGAGGGTGGTCCGGAAGAGGAAAGAGGTGGCCATCTGGGGAGGGACAGGCCTCGGGGAGGAGACTGTGTGGAAAGAAACCTACAGCATCCACATCCTGGTCTGGATTTTCCACCAAACACTCCCACTGCCCTTCGTTTAGGAGGCCGGGCTCCATGCTGTGACCGGGGCAGGGGAAAGGATGGGGTGGGCAAGAGTGGGGAAATTGCCCTGTGGGAGACAAGTGCCATCATCTTGTTCCCCTCAAAGCAGCAGCTGAGCTGGAAAGCTGACAGAATGGGACCTGACTGCAGTCCGTCTCTCCACAAGCCCACTCACCCCAACTCCTCTCCGCCTTGTGGCCACTGTATTCATCTGGCCGCCCTTCTTGCTCTTCTCTCTGAGCATGCACAGCCCTCACACTGCTCTGCCCACTGGAAGGCAGAGTTGCTGTTAGCCCACGACTCATGGCCACCCCATGGACAATGGAATGAAATGAAACTCAGTCCTGCACCATCCCCGTGATTAGTTGGGCATCGGACTGTTGTGACCCATAGGGTTTTCACTTGCTGATTTTCAGAAGTAGATATCCAGGCCTTTCTTCCTAGTCCTTCTTAGTCTGGAAGCTCTGCTGTAACCTTTCCAACACCATAGCAACCCGCAAGCCTCTACTGACAGACGAGTGGTGGCTGCACATGAGATGTATTGGCCGAGAATTGAACCCAGGTCTCCGGCATGGAAAGTGAGAATTCTACCACTGAACCATTACTACCAGCAGAAGGCAAAGTAGGGTCCAACACAGCGGTTCAGCAGCCTCTGATCCTACCCACTCCCAGCAGATGCAAACACATGGCCGCCTTTGCTTTGCTTGCAAGGAACCCACTCTCTGACACTTGGGGCTCTGGTAACCAAATCTGTGGACCTCTCTCACAGCTGTGTGTCAGCGACATGGCTGACTGTGGGGGTTGCTCCTGCCCCACAGCTTCCTTGACACTGTGTTAGGTGTGCCCCTCAGAAACGTCTTTTCCAAGAGGCTCAGTGACAGCTCATGCCCCAGGCACTGAAGGAGTGCCACCCTCTCTCCCACAGTGGGCTGGAAACAGAAAATAGACAGCAGCTTCCAAGAGCATCTTTGCCACAAGGCTCCAAAAGCCTGGGTTATCTGTGCCCTATTCCAGACCCTTCTGATTTAGGAGAAACTGTAAGAAACTAATGTGTGGAGTACTTACTAAGTGCCAGGCCCTTCGACCTACACAGCATCTCACTTCAGTGGCATCACTAGGAGGGTGGAGGAGGTGCAGACCACACAGGGGGACACTGTCAGAGGGGTGACACCAAAATCACTGTCTGTAAAATTTTTGTGCAGTATTTCAGCAAAAAGGTATTACTATTTATAAAAATATCCCAGTAGTTAGTTATGACAAAAAAAACATTTTTTCATATACCCAGCTTACATGTATCAATATACCTACAAAGCTAAAACTCTATGCTAATTTACTTTTTGAACCTTCTAATGCATTCCGGTCAGAGCTGTCATTATTACCCAACTACGGAGATGCTTCAAGTCACATGATTTTGTCTGCACGCTTTACAAGCACATGCTGTTGTTTTCATTCCTGCCGGTGTTTTTATAGTTGCTGATTTGTCAAATTTTCTGGTGTTTTAGCTACAATATTGTGGTAATTAGCATGGGTGGGGGTGACACCACAAGTTACCGCACTGGGTGACACCCACATCTCATTCAATTATCACAATAACCCAGTGAGATAATCATTATCTCTGTTACAGATGGTGCAGCTAAGGCTAAGAAAGCTTCAGCAACCTAAGGTTATGCAACTAGGGAATGGCTCAGCCAGGACTTTGAGAACTCAGTCTGTCCTCAAATCCCACATTCTTTCCATAAAACCCAGCCTCCCATAGCTTCCCTCCTCTGTCTCAGCCTAGCCCAGTTCCTTAGGGTGACAATTCTAAATATCACTAGGAAACCTCTAGAGGGCAGCTCTGTGGTAATGGGATCCAGCGTACGTGCTGTATGTGTCTGTATGGGTCTGTGTCTGCGTATGGTTAGGTGTGGCTTGAGAGGGTGCCAGCAGGCAGTGACTGGGACATGCTGGCCAGAGCTGGCCTGAACTAGTTACCTCAGTTATCCCGAAGAGGAAGGGGATGGAGGAAGCAGGGGTCTGAGGATATTAGCCTAGATCCAGGGATCATCAGTGTCGAAGTGAATCCTTGGGATCTATCACCATGGGATCCCTTGTCCTTCCCTGGCCTGGACAATAGGAGCAAAAGGACCAGGTACTGTTCTCACTCCTTTCTTCTAGGCCTTAATTTTTTCTTTCCTCAATCTCTTTCAAATAGGATAAAGACACTATCCTCCCCCTATGATTGAGGCCTGACCCTTCCCACTGCTTGATCTGAGCTTAACTGGCTCTGAATCTGCAGCCCCACAACGCTTCCCTGCCTCCTGTGGAATCTTAGACTTGGAGCCAGATCAGACTCAGGGTGCAAAGAGAGGCAAACAGACCCATGCCCACTCCCCTCTTCAAGACCTGCTCAGGCGGGTTCTGGGAAGGCAGAACTCGAAGGAGCATTTTAACTACAATTCTTGCCTAAGGCTGCATCTCAGGGAGAACAGGGAGAGGGGCCGGCAGCTCGCAGGGAGTAGGATGGGACAGTCTGCTGAGTGCCCTGGTCTCCAGGACTCAGGAGTTCCCACTCATCCAACCAGAAGAGGGAAAGGCCTCTGCCATCTGGGGCTGCTGGCTGGTGACTGTCTTCATGGTTATGCTAAGAAAGGACTCAGAGAGAGACTATGGGACGCCCCCTGGTGGCACTTGTTGGTTCAGTTGCCCTTCAGAATCAAGTGGGACATTGTTAATAATGCTAACGTCAGTATCCTACCCTAGAGGTCTGATTTAATCAGTCTAGGAGAGTCCCTGGGTGGTGCAAATGGTTAACACTCTAGCCTACTAACTGAAAGACTGCGAGCTCGAGTCCACCCAGAGGCACCAGAAGAAAGGCCTGGCGATCTACTTCTGAGAAATCAGTTGTTGAAAACTCTATGGAGCACAGTTTTGCTCACACACATGAGGTCACCATGTATTGGAGTTGACTCCAAGGCAACTGGCTAAGGGCCGGGTAGTAGTATTTTAAAAAATCCCACCCCCGCCCTGCACCCACATCTTGCCCAAGAGGTTCTAATGTGCAGCCACAATTTGTAACCACCACTCTAGGGCACAGCCCAGCTCAGGGCTGCTCCCCAGGCTTGCTCCTGGCTCTTCATGCAGCCATAATGAAATCTCCAGGGCCCAAGAGACTGGGGCCTCAGTCCAAAGGCCACGGGATGGCAACACTGCCAGCTCTGCTTAAAAGGAAGCATGAACCCAGCAGGATCAGATGTGTGACAACAGGCTTCCTCTGCCTCGCTGCTCTCACCCCACACTGAAGTGGAGGCTGTTGCCTGGCACCCAGCCAGGAAGAGCAAGGTGGCTGGAGAGCAACCTGCCCACTGGCTGGGGTGGGAGCTGGCCAGAAATGGTTCCCTTTCTCTGACGTGGTAAAAATGTTGTGGAGCTGGAGCTCCCCTGTCCTGCCCCCCATCCACCGCCCAGCCCTACTGTCCTCCCACTGGTGGGCTTCTGTCCTGCCAGCCCTGTTCAAGCCAGAGAGAGGGCACAAGTCTGGGCAAGGCCGGCAGGAAGCCCACGAGCCGCTGACCCTGGGCTCAGGTCACAAAAGGCTAGTGGGAGTGGCCCCTGCCCTGCCCCAACCCACACCATGACCAGCAGGACAGACCGGGCCAGCCAGTGGATGGCCAGGTGTGGTCACAGGAGAGGGCTCTGAGCCACCACTGAGGAGGAAGTTCTCCCCTGCCAGCTCCACAGCAAGCCCAGTTAACCCACCGCTTACCACTCAGCACCCCCTCCACTTCCTCTCATCTGCTCCCCACCTCCTCCTTTCACCACACACAAATCACATACACACCACCCCCACACACATCATCCAATTCCCCTCATTTGCTCCTCTGCCTCCTCCTCCACGTGAACTCACGCACACATATTATACCCACATAATGCACCAGACGAACTACACCACACACACACCACACTAATATACACTCATGGCCCCTATATGCAACTGCCCCCCAAGGTCAGTCCTTCTCTGGAGGGGAAACCAGATCCACAGCTTTATTCACACAACAGGGTTTGAAGCCTGGTGGTCTAACTGGATACAAAAGAGGGTGGGTCAGCATTCCACATGAGATCGCGCAGCCACAGTGGAGCGCACCCTTCTTTCACCCCAAGAGACCACGTGGGAGACCCAGGTGTGGGGACCACGGCCACTTGAAAGGTGGGGTCAGTATGGAGCAGGGGGCTGGCTGGGGTGTTAAATTCTGAACTTTCAGCTTCTGCTGCTTGAGCAAAACAAGGGAGTCCCACTCTCCTGCCCCAGCCTGAGGTGACGGGTCAAATGACACAAGCTGGGAGGAACCCACTGCCCTCACCTCCAGGCCTCCCTTTGTGGGATTCCCTAGCATCCAACAGCCCGAGTTAACAGTTGCAGAGGTGCAGGAGTCTTGGGAATGGAGAGGGAATTCACTTGGAGGGCTGGAGTCCAAGTAGGGGAAGAGTCTGGGGTCTGCTGGAGATGCACCTGGGGAAGGTCCTGAAGGAAGCTTTCTGGCCAGGGGCCCCTCCCCCAGCCACACCCTCAGTGGTACCTCTGCCCCCTCCTCCATCACCAGGAGACCAGATTCCTGTTTCTTCTCAAGGCTGAAGGGACAGGTGGGCGTTCAGGCAGGGAAGGGCCCTCCCAGAAGCCCAGCTTCACTTCCATCAACCCCCCTTCCTTTCGGGCATCTAAACCTCCGCCTGGGCCTCAGGCTTTCCACCACCCAGAATGGGCACTGCGGGCTCCTTGCTCTCTAGGAAGGCTATGATGCCCTGCTTTTGGCTCCGGAGGGCCAGCTGCAGAGGTGTGCAGCCCACCCCATCCTGGATGTCCAGTTGGGCGCCGGCCTTGACCAGCACTTTCAGGATGGCCATGTTGCCCTTGAGGGCAGCCAGATGGGCAGCTGTCCAGCCCACCCTGTTGCAGGCGTGAACGTCCGTGCCATGCTCCAGGAGGTTGATGATGCTCAGGAAGGCGCCTCTTTGGACTGCCAGGTGGAGCGGTGTCCAGCCAGACTGTTCGGCAGCACTGAGGTCAGCTCCACACCACAGTAGGGTTGACACCACCACCTCCTCCCCGTGGCGGGCCGCCAGGTGCAGGGGGGTCCGGTTCATGTCTCCGTGAGCACCCAAGTCTGCATGGCTCTCTGCTAGGAGATGGATGATCTCCAGGTGGCCCTTGTAGGCTGCTAGGTGCAGGGGCGTCCAGCACTGCTGGGTGGGCAGCTCGGTGCTGGCCCCGTACCTAAGCAGCATCTTGCAGATAAGGTACTTGCCCCTGGCGACCGCGATGTGCGGTGGGCCGTAGCCACCCTGATGGAGGGCATCAGGGGCCACCCCCATCTTCAGCAGGTGTTGGATGGCTCTCACTTTGTCCCAATCCACCGCCAGGTGGAGCGGTGTCCTCAGGCTTCTCTGCCGAGCATCCAACTCAGCCCCCTGGCCCGTCAGCAGCTTGACCAGGCTGACGTGGCCAAAGTAGGCTGCCACATGGAGGGGGGGGTCTTGCCTTCAGCCTCACACAGGTTGGGGTCAGCTTGACGGGAGACCAGGAGCCGGGCCACATTCTCGAAGTTGTTCTGCACAGCCAAGTGCAACGGGGTCCACCCTTCGTGCTCCTGGGCATCCGTGCAGGCCCCATGGTCCAGGAGCAGGCGGGCAGTCCGGTCATCCCCATTCTGGGCTGCAAAGAGCAGCGGGGTCCAGCCATCCTCGTCCACCAGGTTGGCATCTGTGCCGTGCTCCAGGAGCAGGGCACAGAGGTCAGGTTGCTGGTCCTGCTCGGCGATGAGGAGGGGCGTGCAGCTGCTGGCTGTCTGGCAGTCCACATCCACCTCGTGGGCCAGCAGCAGCCTCACCTGCTCCATGCTGCCCTGCGCCACCAGAAGGTGGAGGGGTGTGACCTTGTTCTCAGAGATACGCAGTTCCTCATCGCTGGGGACCAAGCTCTCACTGTCCGAAAGCTGCAGGACCTGCTTCAAGTAGCTTCCCGAGTCTGCTGGGAGAAAGATGAGGCTAAAAAGACCTTTCACCTGCCCAGAGGTCATCTTGGCCATTCCCCTGCACCCTGGAAGCAGCACCCAGGAAATGCCTTTGCTGACATTACAGATCTCCTGGGTTGCCCAAACAGTTTGCACTCAGCTAGTAACCAGAAGGTTGGCAGTTCCAACTCACCCAGTGGCACCTAGGAAGAAAAGGCCTGGTAACCTGCTCCCGTAAAGACTACAGCCAAGAAAACCCTTTGGGGCAACTCCACTCTGTAACACGTGGGGTCGCCATGAGTCAGAATGGACTTGATGGTAAACAACGACAACAGCAACAACACACCGTTCTTCCTGTTACAGTTCAGGCACCACTCCATTGTCTTAGACCACTAAGGCAGAAAGAGCAGACCCAGGAAGCCCTAGATCAAATTCTGACTCCACCACTTTGCATCACGTGACCTTAGCCAATTCTCTGCCTCTCTGAGCCTCTAAGTTCTGACTGGTCACACTTCACACCGCCTCTGTGAGGACAAGCTATGTAGGCAAAAACTTTCAGAGGTGTTTCTGCCACAATTAGGAGAGTACATGTTGAAAATAAATTTGTGGCTGGAGCTGTATAATCGGAACTCCTCCTGAGACCATTAAGGGCCTGCTTTCTTCTGCTCTACCCAGCAGCATCTAGTCGGCCTGACTCATGGTGACCCCATGTGTATAAGAGTAGAACTGCACTCCATAGGGTTTTCTATGGCTGAAAGTAGAACAGGAAGTAGATTGCCAGGCCTTTCTTCTGAGGTGCCTCTGGGTGAACTTGAACCCTCAGCCTTTCAGTTAGCAACTGAGCATGGTAACCATTTGCACCACCCAGGAACTCCACCCAGAGGCATATTAGAATTAAAAAAGAAAAAAACACTGCCCAGGCCCCACTCCCAGAGATTCTGATTTAATTAATCTGGGGGTGGGGTGGGATGGGGTGGGGGTGGGGGCAAGCGATTCTAGCATGTAGCCAGGGTTGAAAACCACTGCTTCAGCTCCCAGGCCAAGAAGGGAGGCATCTGACCTTGTGAGAACACAGAACTGAATAGAAAGCAGAGCCAGGACCCCCCCAGGGACATGTGCCGCACTAGAACATGGAGAAGAGTGCCAGGGAAAGGAACCCACTACACCTGATTTGTGACAGGCCTGGGGAGGAGGGCCAGGGCTTGGGAAGGATGGGGAAGGAGTCTGCGTGGATTCCATTTTTCCCTCCACTGTGAGTTCCCTGCTTCCATGTGGTGCCCTGGGCTCACCATTGTCCGTTAGCTCCGGACTGACTTCCTCATTGACCTGCCGAGGGACCAGAAGACAAGGGTGTGGATCAGCAAGATAGCCCAGGTCTTTGCCGTCCACCCCTCCCACCCTTTCTCCAGCACTCCCTTTCATCTGTCAGGACCCCATCCCACCCAGTCCTAGGGGACCCTCCTTCTATGCCATCCCTCCACCAGCTGGGTCTAGAGGACAACATGAAGCAGGGAAGACTTGCCAGAAAGAGGTGGCTGAGGGCCGTGCCTTCCCCTTGGGCTGACCTCCAGGTGGAAGGCTGAGTGAATCTGTGGGTTCAGCTGGGAGCCCAATGCCACCCCATGGTGTTTTCCCATATTAGCGTCCAGACAGGAGAGCACATTGATGACACTGATGCCCATGGGCTTGAAAGCTTGGGAGTGTGGAGCTCTCCCTTGCAGGCTAGGGCTCTGTTTACTTCCACCCATCTGAGAGAAGGCATGTCCTTCTCCGAGGCTCTGAGCCAGGGCCACTACTCACCCAGAGAGCACCTCTGTCCCTCTCTGGATGGACACAGCCCCAGGCTGGGATGCCTGGTCTGGTGAGCTGAGTGTCGCTGATTGCAGGCCCACTGGTGCCCTTAGCCAGGCAGCTTCAGAAAGGACACACCTGTGTGCCCACATGCAGGGCCCTGCCCAGAGCCCACAACAGAGCCCACAGGGGGCCCCAGGGCAGCCTGCAGCATTCACCTCCAGGGTCTGCTGCAGCGACGGCTTGCAGGACACCTTCCGGGCCAGGGCCTCACTCTCCGGGTCTGCAACAGGACTCTGGAGCAGGGACAGCAGCATGTCTGTCTCCACTGTGATGTCTGCTCTGTGAGGAGGGAGGAAAGGAAGCAGCAGGCTGGCCAGCAGTCCCTGCCCTGTTCTAGAGACCCCAGCACTCCCTGTAGGTCCCACCCTTGGCAAGCCACAAACCCTCTCTGGGGATCAGTGGCCTTTTCCATCAAACGAGAGGACAGGATGAGGAGCTCTCTAAGATGCTCACCCTTACACGTGTGTGTGTTTTCATAGTCTCTGAAGGACTGGAAACTTCACGGTCCACTGTATGCCTGTGACCCCTTGATCTGGGGACCTTGACCTCCCAGGCCATGACCGGACCTAATCCCCTCACTGCCAGGCCTAGTTAAAGACTCTGACTTTCAGCTTTGCCAGGTTGTCCACGTTTCCTCACAGTCCAACTTGTTGGCATCTAGGTGGCAGGGGCAGGGATGGGAGAAGGTAAGGAAGGGGTACTTTGCAAGGCAAGAGAGTTCGAATCAGAAAGCGTGAGGGTCTGGGCTGACTTTTCTCTTTCCTTTTACTTTTAAGGTAAGCTCTAGAAAATAAGGGGAGTGATGAAGGAGGATGAGGATGGGAGCCCCTGCCACTTCTTCCACCCCACTAACCCTCAGCCCTGAGGACCCATGGCTGACTGGAGATCTCAGAGGCAGAGCCAGGCTGGATTCCACGTCTTCTGACTTCCAGCAACGAGGGTTTTCTCGTCTACAGCCCACAGATGCACACATTTACACACTCAGACTCAGACCCTGTTCTTCGCTGCCCTGGCTCCCAACACCATCCTCCCCCTACAGCGATCCTGATTCTGCTTAGAAAAATAGCTCTGGACCAAGTGCTGCTGGCCTCTCTTCACAGCTCTCAGAGTGGTCTCAGGCCTCCCAGCATCTCCTCTCTGGCCCCCTCTGGCCCCAGCCCTACCCAGAACCCTGCTCCCTGGGCTGGTCAGGCCAGATCAGAACCTGGGAAGCACGGCCTCTTCTTGGGGTCCTGGTCCCAACAGCGTTTCATCAGATCCACCATCTGCTGGGCCTCACCCGGCCACTCATCTGAGATGAGCTGCAGGGAGGGTCGCATGCCCGCGATCACTCGGACGATGACGGTCATCATGCTGAAGCCTGTGGGAGGAAGTCCAGGCTGTGTAGGTGCTGTGAGGCAAAGTGAAGGGACTGGGTGGGAGAAGGGAGCTGAGGAGCCCAACAGGGTGGTGCACACAGTAGGGGCTGCATGAAGTCTTGGTGAGTAAAGAGTTGTGGGCTGACTTGAGGTTCAGGTTTGAGCAGCTGAGTCTCTCTGGTCCAGGGCCAGCCGCCTCCCAGGCCAAGACCAGTCCTGACCCCTACACTGCCAGGCCTAGTTAAAGACTTTGACTTTCAACTTTGCCAAGTTGTCCACATTTCCTGACAGTCCAACTTGTTGGTATCTAGGTGGCAGGGGCAGGGGTGGGAGAAGGTAGGGTTGCAAGGCAAGAGAGTTTGACCCTGAAAGCATAAAGGTCTGAACTGACTTTTCTCTTTCCTTTTACTTTTAATGTGAGCTCTAGAAAGTAAGGGGAGGAAGGAGGATGAGGATGGGAGCCCCCAGTACAAACCTCCCGCTTCTTCTGCCCCCACTAACCCTTAGCCCTCCCACAGCCTCCTTTATGGACCCCACCAGAGGGTGACTGCCCCACGCCGAGACACGGTGCCTGCTACCTGAATATGGTTTCTTCTGAGTGAGGATCTCCCAAATGACAATCCCGAAGCTGTGGGTGGGGACAGTGCTCCCTGAGTGACCTTTCTCAGATGTCCATGGCACCCCAGCCAGGGAGGCCTATGGACCAGCCAATCCCAGGCAAAGCCCCTCCATCCAGAGTCCCTCATCCCATCCCTCTCCCTCCCCTGTGGGCAAGGATGGGCTAACCTCAGATCCACCAGGCTTCATTCCCGTCCTGCCCTACCCTTTGGGCTCTAGGGGCCAAGCCGGGTGGTGACAATGAGCTGCCTCTTGGGTAGCAACAAGCCCAGTCTCCCTCTCACCTGTACACATCGTATTTGGGGCCTGGGGCCTTGTAACTCTCCAGAAACATTTCAGGGGGAATGTAGCTTAGGGTGCCCCGCAGAGCTGACCTCTCGATGTACTGCATCCGGGTCGACTGTTCCATCCATTTGGACAGGCCAAAGTCTGAAATCTGGGAGGAAGCCAGAGGTGGAGAATAGGATGGCAATAGAATCTTGCCTCCAGAAAACTACTTCGGTTTCTCACTCCTCCAGCTAGCTATCCTTTCCAGATAGTGCAGCAATGAAGAGCACGGGCTCTCACGCCAGTGGCTCCATCACTTCCTACTTGCATGTTCGCAGACAAGTTACTTATGTTCTCAGAGCCTCAGTTTCCTCATCTGTAAAATGGAAATGATATGCATACTGAACTCATAGTGTTATTATGAGGATTAAATGAGGCAGCATAAAGCACCTAGAATGGTGACTGGCACATAGTAAGTACCTGGGAGGTGTTGCCATTATGCAGAGGAGCTATGGATAAGGTTGACGAAAGAAGGCCGTCTTTGGTGAGCCTTCGCTCATTCCACCTCCACGCACCCTGGAGCACTCACGTCATGTTCTCGCCTTGTATATTTATCCTCCCTTTGCTTCCATCTGGAATCAACTCGATGGCAACGAGTTTCATTTGTTTGTTTTTGCTTCCATCCATTGACTCATTGCTTCACCAATTTACCGTTCACTGAGTGACAGTGAGCTGGGTACTGAGGATCCGGCAGTGGACAAGAAAGATGAGAACCCCCTAACCCTCATAAATGCTTATTTAAATAAGGGTGGCATAGTGGTTAAGAGCTCGACTGCTAACCAAAAGGTCGGCGTTCGAATCCACCAGCCGCTGCTTGGAAACCCTATGGGGAAGTTCTACTTGTCCTACAGGCTATAGGGTTGCAATGAGTCTGAATTGACTCAATGGCAATGGGTTTTTTGGTTTTTTTATTGTCATTTACAAAATAGTTTCACTATTGATTGTTGTTGTGTGCCATCCGATTCATAGCGACTCTACAGGACAGAGTATGACTGCCCCATAAGTTTTCCTAGGCTGAAGTCGTCCAGGAGCAGATCACCAGGTCTTTTCTCTCACAGAGCTGCTGGTGGGTTTGAACCACCCACCTTTTGGTTGGCAACCCAGCACTTAACTATTGCGCCACCAGGCCTCTTTCACTATTGATCATATACTTACAACTGGGGTTAGCAATATGAAGAAACAGAGGTACAACAAGGGTACAATGGGGTCTGTGGAAGGCCTCCCTGAGGAAGTGACCTTTAAGCTGAAAGCTCAAGGATGAGTAGGCCTTTGCTAGATAAAGAGCGTGGAATGGGGGAAGGGTATTCCAGGCAGAAGGAACAGAACGTGCAAAGGTCCTCAAGTAGAAAAAAGTGTTGTATGTTTTAGGAACTGAAGAAATGGTCATTCTGTCCATTCATAGGGATTATCTCATTTATAAACCAGTTGCTGTTGAGCTGACTGACCCTGTGTGTGTGAGGGTAAAACTGCTCCATAGGATTTTCAGTGGCTGGACTTTTGGTAGTAGATCTCCAGGCTTTTCTTCCAAGGGACCTCTGGGTTAGCAGCCCAGTAAGTTAACTGTTTGCAGTGGTAGAATTCTCATCTTCCATGCAGGAGACCTGGGCTCAATTCCAGCCAATGTACCTCATATGCAGCCACCACCTACCTGTCAGTGGAAGCTTGCATGCTGCTATGAGGATGAATAGGATTCAGCAGATCTTCCAGAACAAGAAAAACTAGAAACAAAGGCCTGACGATCTACTTCCAAAAATCAGCCAATGAAAACTCTATGGATCACAACAATTTGATCTGCAAAACCATGATGGGGATGGCACAGGACCGGGCAGCACTTCATTCCGTTGTGCATATGGTCACCATGAGTCAAGGGCCCACTCAACAGCAGCTAACACCAACGTATCATTTATATGCGTCTCCACCCTAAGCAAAGAATAGGAGGGACAGGGATTTTTCTATCCACTTTAGAAATTGAAAACTGAGGCCCAAAAAGGGTTATCCCAGGCATCCTGACACCCAGCTTCCTGCACCAGCTTTCAATGTCCATCCATCTCTGTTTTAGGTGTGAACCCTGCCTTCAGTATTTGTCCATGAAGGGAACTCCTTAAAACTCTCGACAGGCCCAACAGACAGGCAGGTAGATAACCTGCTCACCTAGAGGAGACTCTGGAGTACAAAGGGGCGGAGGGGCTGACCAGGGCCCTTACCTTGACATGCATGTTGCTGTCCAGGAGGATGTTGCCTGGTTTGAGGTCCAGATGCAGCAGAGATGGCTTAATGCTATGAAGGAAGTTCATGGCTAGGCTGGTCTCGTGGATGATGCGGAACTTGAGCTGCCAGCAGAGGCTGTGGGTGGGCAGCATCTTCTCCAAGGAGCCGTTGGCCATGAACTCCATCACAATGCCCAGGGGCTGCTTGCACACCCCATAGATGGGGACGATGTGTTGAAACTTGATCTTCTCCATTTTGGCTGCTTCTTCAATAAGACAATTCACATCAGAGCTATGGAGAGGAGGGAGCAAGAGATGGAAGAGGGCAACCCATTAATTACTAGAGCAACCAGCAGGACACAGAACTAGGCCAAGCCATGGGGACCCAGAGAAGCCTCAGGAGGTTTAAGGTAGTGGAGTAGGAAAGAGACATATGAAATGATGCCCAGCAGGCAGCACAGGTCAAGGTCCAGACAGCCAGCAGGGACAAGACAGGAAGTGAAGGTGTTTGCAGGTTTCAGGGCGAGTCCGTTCTGCAGAGGTGGCCTCAGAGAGCACAGATCACAGCCTGCCTTTTATTCTGGCCACTTGTTTATGTATCTATCTCCCCTCATTGATCGTGAGCCCCTGGAGGGCCAATATTAGGCCTCATGCTTCTGTTTTAAAATATCATTTACTGTTGTTTTGATTATGAAAGTAATACACAGACCTCGTCGAAAATCTAGGGAACACAGAGCTATAAAGAAGAAAATTAAATCACCAGTAATCCAACCTTCCAGAGCTGTCTCTGTTAATATTTTAAGATATTCTTTTTTCAAGGTATCTCCCTCCCTTTAGCTCCTTTCTGCTCCTCTCTCCTTTTTCTCTTCTCGTCACATAGTAGGTGCTGTTTTGTTATCTGATTTTCCCCCATTAATAAAGCACGAGAACCTCCCCACATTGCTATTCTCCTGAGCGTGGCCTTTAAAGGCTGCATGATACTCCATTTTCAGGATGAACTATAATTATCCATCTTTGTACTTCCCACAGCACATTGCCATGCACAGCACAATACATCTTGGTTGAATTGAACAGAAATCAAGACTTAAGGGAAGGCCATAGGAAATCAACGTAACAAACCCTCTTACTCATTACACTGCAGGTGCCCATGGAACAGTGAATAGGCAAATTGTTATAGATTGTTTGGGGATTTCAGGCACGAAGGTTAAGGAGAAATGCCATTTTTAAAAGCATTGTATTTGCAAGACTTCTTTGGCGGTGCAGTCAGAGGCTGCCTGCAATGTGCTCCTGGGCCTCCCTGGGAAGCCCGGCTGTGGTGGCTCTGAGCGCCGGGAAAGCCCTTCATCTCTCCCTCCGCATCTGGACAGGCTGGCGTATCCAGGCTTCTCCTGTCCTCGCCTTTAGTTCTCTACTGTCCCAGACAGCTTCCCTCCTTTGATCTGACTCTTCTTGTTCTCTTGAGTTCCCAGGAATGAGAAGACATCTGCCATGAGGTGGGAAAATGGGAACTGGGGTCAAACCACCCTGATTCCAAATCCCAGTTTCACCACTTATTAATCTGCATGACCTTGGGCAAGTAAATTCTCTGGGTCTCAGTTTCTTAACTGTAAAATGGGAATTATAGTGACTACCTTGCACAATCCCCTTCACACCCAAACTTCTTAAAACCATTTGTTATACCTGCTGCCACTCCTTTTTTTTTTGCCTCTCTCAGTTTTTGTCAGGTTCTGGCCTCTGTACCCCACTGAACAGCCCTTGCTAAGGTCACCAATGACCTCTATGTTGCTATATCCAATGAACACTTTTCAGTTCTCAGTTTACTCTTTTCTCATTTTTTTTATCGTGATAAATATATATGTAACAAATCATTTGCCATTGAAACGTTCTTCATGTGTACAATTCATGAACAGTTACGTTTATCATGTCGTTCAATCATTGTGGCTGTTAGATGCCATCGAGTCGACTCTGACTCATGGCGACCTCATGTGTATCTGAGCAGAACTGTGCTCCATGGGGTTTTCGAGGCTGACCGCCAGGTCTGTCTTCTGAGGGGCCTCTGGGTGGGTTCTAATCACCAACCTTTTGGCTGTTAGTCGAGTGCTTAACCATGTGTGCCACCCAGGAATTCTGCTGTTCAACCACTACCATTAACCATTTCCAAATTTTCCCATCACCTTTAGAAAAAGTTGGTTTACATTCTTTCTCAACAGCATGGGGCATTGTTGATCTCTAGCTCTTTTTTTGCTTGAGATGCTCCCTTACTTCCGCTATGTGTCAACATTCTCCCGGATTTCTCCTTCTCTTTCTGGTCACTTCCTTTATGTTCACTTTGCAGGCTCAGGTTTTGTTAGTTAACCACTGGGCTTAGTCCCAGGCCCTCTCCTCTTCTTTCCTCACTCTGTACTCCTTAGGCCATCTTGACATCTCCAGTTGGGTATCCAATACTTAAGGTATCTAGAAGTAAACTCTTGATTCTCCCCCTAAAACCTGTTCCTCCCCCAGTCCATTCTTATCTCAGTGAATAGGGTCTCCATCCTTCTAGTTCTCAGTCCTTGGTATCATCTTTGACTCCTCTCTTGCTCTCAGTTCCCATAACCAGTTCCTCGGCAAATCTTGTCAGCTCTATCTTCAAAATGTAGCAAGAATTTGACTACTACTCACCACCTCTACCATTTGCATCTGGTCTCACCCTCCTAATTAGTCTCTCTGCTTCTCCCCTTTCCTGTTCGCAATCTATTCTGAACCCAGAAGCCAGAGTGATACTTTTAAAATGTGAGTTGGATCATGCAGCTTCTCTGCTCAAAACCTTCCAACCTTCATCTCATTCAGAATAAAAGCCAAAGTCCTTACAATGGCCTACAAAGTCCTATATGTTCTTCTCCCACTTCTGGACATTCCTTGCTGGCCTCATCTTATACTAATCACTCCCTCACTCACTCTGCTCCTGCCACACTGGCCTCTTAGTGTTCTTTCACCATCTCAAGTGTATTCCTACCTCAGGACCTTTGCACTTGCTGTTCCTTCTACCTAGAACACTTTTGCCTAAGATAGCCACATGGCTTGCTCCTTCATTTGCTTCAACTCTCTACTCAAATGGTGTCTTACTAGTAAAAATTTCACAGGCAATTCTGTATAAAAATAGCGACCTCATCCCAATTCTGGTACTCTTTATCCCTCATACATTTATTAAAAAAAAAAAAACAACCTGTTGCTGTCCATTCGATTTGGACTCATGAGCCCCATACATAGGTACCTCACAAAGTAATGTTTCTAGCCTGAACCTTTTCTCTGAAGATCAGATCTTCTCAACTGTTCTTAAGTTTTTAATTAAGAAAATAGCAAGTGGCCATAGGTTCTCTAGACAAAAATATTTATTTACTTAGTTATTCTTTGTTTTTCTCCATTAGATTGTAATCTCCTTGAGAGTAGGGACTTTGTTTTGTTCACCTAATGCTTAGACTGAATGAATCTCCTCTACGCCTTATCTACAATTACCACCTATAACAAATGACTCACATACTTTAACATTGTTAGTTCATTTTTGCTCTGAAGTCTGCTTAACAACTGTTCTTGGCTGTTAAATGTACCTTAAACTCACCATGTACAAAACTGAATTCATGATCTTCCTCTCCAAACCTGAACCTCTTTTCATATTTTCTTTATTAGTACTCAATACCACCATCTAAAAATATCTATTAAATACCAACTATGTGCGAGGCACTGGGGATAGAGCGGGGAACAAAATGGACACAGACCCCTGCTCTCATGGAATTTACATCCTACTGGATCCTTCATTCCTTTGGGCAAGCCAGGCATCACGTTAACCCTGTCTCCTCTTCCTCTTCATGTCTCCCATAGCCAATCCAGCACAAAGTCCTAAATATTGCATAGTTCATTTCCTTCAGTCCCCCAACGCTCCAGTCTAGACCCTCATCATCTCTTGCCTGAACAATGACAAATAGCCTCCTCACTGGACCAGTGTCCACCCTGTCCTCTCCAATCCATTCTCCATACTGTAAATCTGATTGTTTCCCCACTGTCAACCTCCCTCCCACACACACACATACACACCTGGCTGTGAACCCTTCAATGGCTTTCCACTGCTCCCTCACTCTCTCAACTCCAGCCACAAAGGCCTTTTTTCCATCACTTGTACTTCCCCATGCCCTTCCTGCCTTGGATCCTCGGCACATACTGTTGCCTCTTCCTGGAAAGCTTTCTCCTCTTCACCTGCTAAACTCATGCTCATTCTTCACATTTCAGCTCATGTGTATCTTCCACTGGGAAGGCTTTTCTGATCTCAGTCAAAATCTTTATTAATAAGCTCTCATAGAACCATATATCAGAGTTGACTATGAAGCATGGTGACCCCACATGTGTCAGAGTAGAACTGTGCTCCATAGGGTTTTCAAAGGATAATTCTTTTGGAAGTAGATCACTGAGCCTTTCTTCCGAGGCACCTCTGGGTGGACTTGATCACCCAGCTGTTTGGTTAGCAGCCCAGCATATTAACCATTTGCACCATCAGGGAATCCACTTGACATACAAAAACCAAAAAAAACCAAACCTGTTGCCGTAGAGTCTATTTCGGCTCATAGCGACCCTACAGGGCAGAACTGAGCTGCCCCATAGGGTTACTTGACACACAGAGAACATTACCCATTGCCGCCGAGTCAATTCCGATTCATAGTGACCCTATAGGACAGAGTAGAATTGCCCCATAGGGTTTCCAAGGAGCTGCTGGTGGATGTGAACTGCCAACCTTTCGGTTAGCAGCTGAGCTCTTAACCACTGTGCCACCAGGGCTCCTAGAGGACACTAACCCATAACCCATTGCCGTCAAGTCGATTCTGACTCATTGCGACCCTATAGGACGGAGCAGAACTGCCCCATAGAGTTTCCAAGGAGCGCCTGGTAGATTCGAACTGCCGACCTTTTGGTAAGCAGCCGTAGCACTTAACCACTATGCCACCATGGTTTCCCATTAATTTCCTTATCACTTTCCATCCAGGGAACTCCGAGAACTTGGGAAGGGAAAGTGGCAAGTGTTACACTCAATGTCTAACAGTGTAGTCTTGTCAATGCCATCTGTTTCCTTTTGTTCTTTACTTCAAAGGCTGTAAATGATTTGGACGAATCCTAGAATAATCTGACTCTTCTCCAAAGTCAACAGGAGGACGTAGAGGAATAAAAAGTGGGTGAGTCTGGGCCTATCTCACTTTGCCCTGTCTGTGAGGTGAGTAGGGGAGTCTGGGAATTAGAGAACGGACTGGCTTGAGTGCGGGGCCTGAGGCTGTGTCTTGGGAGCTTGCATGGTGACCACAGAGAACATGACAAACATCATCCAGTTTAAATGCCCACAAGAGATGCCACTTCCCCAAACCCTCTAGCTGATGTCCAGGGAGCCTTGGGAGGAAAAAATGGTTATCCTGTTCAGACTTAACATCCCAAGAGTCTCCTTCATGACTGCAAGGAGGCAGGGGGCAAGCACACAACTAATGCATGCAAATCAGTAGGGACGGAGATGGAAGCCCATCTCAATGGGAAGACAGAGAAGAGTGGAAACTGTGGGAATGAGGGAGGGAGGCGTCCCAAAGAGTGGCAGCAATGTGCATGATGAGAGTTGGAGAGAACCAGAGAAAAAAAACAAGGGCAGAAAGTGCAGTATTCCGGGTTTGACCTACAGGTCCTCTAGCAGGTACTACGCAGGTGCCAAGTGAGGCCAGTGGCGTGAGCAGGCTATCAGCCCATCAGGTTGGGCAGCGTCCATCCCCCACGCACCCCTAGCCCACACTGGCTGTCAGTCATGGGACAGGAGTACATAGTTCCCACACGTCACTGAGCGTCACTGGGTGCAGTGCCACAGCCCTTTGGGAAGTCTAGTCCTGCGCTGGGAGTCTGGGGTGGGTAGGAGAGTGGCAGGGGCACGTAAGACGATGCATCACCACCCCTGCACCTAGAAGGAAGGAGGTGGCTGGAAAGAAGGAGGGAGGACGAGTTTAGAGGTCAGATGGGACAAAGGCATCTTTGGAAGGCAGTTTCTGCTCACCTTCGACCTCTGTTGATTCCACATGCAAGTATTATGTGCCAACTGCATGCCAAGTATGGAAATAAAACAGACATAGCCCTGCTTGGCGGAGCTCAGGCTACTGGGTAGCATTTAGAAACGCTGAAGGGGCAATCCTCAGCGCCAACCTCAGCCCCCCCTCCCTCAGGAGCGCCTTGCCTGGCCTGTTTCTCCTTCATGAAACGAGAGGGCTGGCCGCCGGGCGGCGCCGGTAGGTACCTGGTGGCGTCCGGCAGGAGGCAGGGGGGACACTTGATGGCGTACTCGGTTCGCCAGCGCTTGTGCCGCGCCTGGAACACTTGGCCGAAGCCGCCACTAGCCACTTGGCGCCATTCGCCCTCAAAGTCGTCGCGGCTGAAGACGGTGAGGCTGCCCAGGCGCCGCTCCACGCCTGCGGCGGCCATGGGGTCAGAGTGGCGCCGCGCACTCCTGCGCAAGGACTGCAGCCTGGGTGGCCTGAACAGCCGTAGCAACCTGCTCCTCTGGTCCCGGGAGGGTGGGGATGGTGAGGCTAGCTGGGCCCTCCCTCCTTCCGCCAAAGAGGAGCCTATCCTGCCCTGCAAAGGCGGGGAAAACCCAGACCTCAGCCCTAAGGCCCCAGGAAGAGATGGGGGTGTGGGAAGGCTGGGCCTGGGAAGAGGGGTATACCTCCACAAAGACCCAAGAGACTACCACCTCACTCCAACATTCTTCCTCAGTCTCAGCCTTTTATCTACCCTCCCCTAGTTCTCACCTCTTGCGAAAGGGATGGGGGTGTTAGGAAAGGAAGGTGTATTAACTGTATTAACGTTGGAAGCAGGGGTCTGGCCACAGAATTTGGTCCCATTTTATTTAATCCCAGTGCTAAGTGGAAATTAGTTTATTCATTCATGCAACCTATGTACAGAGGGTTTATGTAGGGTCCAAGACTCTGCTAGGAGTCTCTCTTGTTGATTGTAGGAGCCCAAAGCCCCACCCCTTCCCAGAAAGGATGGAGTTCCTAAAATTATAGTGAGGATTTTCTGGTCTGGATCTGTTGGCCTGACTAGTTTAAAGTTTTCTTTCTTCATGTTGTTTAATTTTCTCTTTGTTCTCACTTAGTATTTAGTAAGGTTACTTTAAAAATGTCAGCACAGCCAAGGAGGTGTCAGCAGAAGCAGAGAGGGGTGTATGGTTAGATGCCTTCCTGCAGGGAACTCCCCTTCCTGGTGCTCTTCTCTGCCCAGACTTCAGAGGGATCCGTGCAGTGGGGAGGTGAACTCCTTGGCCCAGTTACTGAAGGTGACTTATTTCCAGGGACGAGAGGAGGCTCTAGGGAGCAGTTGGATGATGACTAGGGCCTCATCCCCTGGGTGGGGGGGCAGTCCGGGCCCAGAGGACCACAGAGCAGTGTTGGGGCTGTCCAGGAATCTGGCCTGAGGGCTCAGCACGGAGACTTGGGGCAGGAGGGAAAATGTACCAGCAGAGGCAAACCTGGCTGCTGAACAGACAGGAAGCTGTCCTGGTGGGGAAGGTTAGCCAGGTGGCGGTGGAGAAGAGATCTCCGAGAGAAGTAGCTGGCAGTGTATCAGGCTTGGCCTCCTCTCTCTTTCTCTGGACTTCCTGCTTCCTTCCTCCTTCCTGACGTCCACTGCAGGCAGTGTCTTTGTCCTTGTCTGGGAATGTCAGAGAGAAAGGCTTCCCGGTGCTGGGCCTGGGGGTTCCTCAGGGTCTTCAGTCCATGGAGTGCGTGCAGTGCCACCCTCCCCTCAGAGAACCACAGAGCGGGGCAGAGTATAAGCACTTTGAATAGGTGGGTATTTTAGTTATCTAGTGCTGTTATAACAGAAATACCACAAGTGGATGGCTTTAACAAACAGAAATTTATTTTCTCACAGTCTAGGAGGCTAGAAGTCTGAATTCAGGGTGTCAGCTCCAGGGGAAGGCTTTCTCTCGCTGTCGGCTCTGGGGAAGGTCCTTGTCATTAATATTCCCTGGTTGAGGAGCTTCTCAGTGCAGGGACCCCAGGACCAAAGGATGCGCTATTCTCCTGGCTCTTGTTTCTTGGTGGCATGAGGTCCCCTTGTCCCTTTGCTCCCCTCTCTCTTTTATGTCTCAAAAGAGGTTGACTTGAGACGCAACCTAATCTTGTAGATTGAGTTATGCCTCATTAACATAACTGCCTCTAATCCTGCCTCATTAACATCATACGGCTAGAATCTACAACACATAAGAAAATCATATCAGATAACAAAATGGTGGACAATCACACAATACTAGGAATCACGGCCTAGCCAAGTTGACACACATTTTTTGGGGGACACAACTCAATCCACGACAGTGGGCCTCCCCAGGGACATTCAGGTGCAGGTGCTGCTGAGAGAACTGCTGCAGGGCAGTGCAAGGGAGGCCACCTCTCACCTGCTGCTGGCTGAGTCTAGGCTGAAGTCCATGGGGAGCCCCAAGAGTGACAATCCTCAAGTTTGAGGAGTCTGCCTACAAGAAGAGAATATCTCTAGCTTTTGGCCCAAACCTATAGAGCACCCCCTCCATGCAACAGATCTTCCAGATGTCTAGGGAACAAGGCAAGCATGATAGATGAACACAGACTCCAGGAAGAAGCTCCTTTCATAACAATTTACGTGCAACGACCAGGATGAATTCTGGCAAGGAGATTAAGGACCAAAGTTCAACCAGGAGGCAGTTGTCATAGGAACCAATGATAATAGCCACTATTAATTGAGCCTTAACTTCGTTCCAGGAACAGTAGCTACTTCACATACTGCATATACTTTACATATATTATCTAGTTTAAATCCACAGCAATGTTATGAGGTCAACATCTTCCTATTTACAGATGAGGGAACTGGGGCTTGAAGACAGTAAGTAAGTAATTGATGGTCACATAGCTGGTAGGTGGTAGAGCTGAGATTCAAACCCAGGTCTGTTTGGTTCCTATGGAAAAGGGATGGGCATGGGAGGGGTGGAGGCAGACTTTCTGAAAAGATGGAGGAAAAGAGAGGAACAGATGCATGCTTCCTGGAAGAGGGTGCTGGAACCTGCATCGGGAGTAGGAGACACACCCCAAAGGCAATGTCAGAAGGAGGCCCCAGCTGGCTTTGGCTGGAGCAAAGCAGAGCAAGGAAGAACTGACTGCGCCTGAACAGCCCTGTCTGCTCTTGACAAGTCAAACCCTCCCCCCAGGAAGCTTGGAAGGTGGTAGAGAACATTGTTGTCAGGACCATCAGATCGAGAAGAGGCCTCTCACACCCACAGGGTATGTGGGCATGGAGATTGAGAAGGTAAACGGGGCACTGCCCTGGGCAGGTTGTCTTGGGCTCAGATCTCTGACATTCCTCAGGCTACCAGAGGAGACACCAGGGAAGGGCAAATTGTTGAAGGGCCTGAATCAGTTTAGGAAATTCTTTTTGGCTCAGTTACACCTGAGATGGCTCTCCAGGGAGAGCAAGAAACCAGAAGCTGCCATTAGCCATCGGCACAGACTCTCCTGGGAATGTTGAAGAAAGCATCATCCCTGGAGGAGGGCTCAGGTGGGGCGTTAGGATTCCAAATAAAACACCTCTGAGAGTTTCTCTACAGGGGTGTAGGTGGCAGGACATACAGGACCCAGGGTGTGTTACTTTGAACCACCTATTGAAACAGCCAAGCTGTGGGTTCAAGAGGCCCCTGAGGCTTCTGAGGAATCTGGCAAATGGAGGGCTCTTTTTTCACAGAATAGATACATGTATATGCCTATAGTGCCTGGAAAGAAGCCCTGGTGGTTTAACGATTAAGCACTCAGCTGCTAACCAAAAGGTTGGTGGTTCAAACCTACCCAATGGTTCCACAAGAGAAAGACGTGGCCATCTGGTTCCATAAAGGTTACAGCCAAGACAACCCTGTGGGACAGTTCCACTCTGTCAGATGGGGTTGCCATGATCAACTCGACGGCACCCAACAACAACAGCATAGCACCTGGAGTCATTATACTGGAGTCATGCTGCTATCTTTCTTTCTCTAAAGTGGGCCCACATATAAGCCTAGTAGTCTTTGGATAAGCTCTGGGAAAAGTTGTAAGGAGACCTTCCTCAGTGTCTTGGTTATCTAGTGCTGCTATAACAGAAATACCATAAGTGGATGGCTTTAGCAAACAAAAATTCACTCTCTCACAGTCTAGTAGGCTAGAAGCCCAAATTCAGGGCACCAGCTCCAGGGGAAGGGTTTCTCTCTTTGTCAGCTCTGAAAGAAGGTCCTTGTCATCAATCTTCCCTTAGTCTAGGAGCTTCTTGGCACAGGAACCCTGGGTCCAAAGGACATGCTTTGCTCCCGGCGCTGCTTCCTTGGTGGTATGAGGTCCCCATGTCTCTGCTCGCGTCTCTCTTTTATATCTCAAAAGAAATTGGCTTAAGACACTATCTGATCTTGTAGATCTCATCAATATAACTGCCATTAATCTATCTCATTAACATCATAGTGATAGGATTTACAACACATAGGGAAATCACATCAGATGATAAAATGGTAGACAATCATACAACACTGGGAATCATGACCTAGCCAAGTTGACAGATATCTGGGGGAGACATGATTCAATCCATGACACTGAGTGTAAGATCACTGAGGCCAAGAACTCCTAGATCCCTCCTTAATGATTGGGATGATACTTAAGGATTTGGGGAAAAGCAAGGTCAACACAGAGGCTGCTGTTTTCTTTCTTATGGTCTGGGTGCAGAGGTTCCTGTCCTGTCTGTGAAGTCTACACGCAGTGGGTGGAGGGAGAGGGCTGGAGGGGAGAGCTCCGCCTTCAACTGCCACTTCTACCCAAGAGTGGGAATGGATAATGAGATGGATAGAGTCCAACCATGACTGAAACTCACCCAGAAAGGCAAGACGTGTTCTGGCCAAAGGGATGTTGCCCCAAGATGCTCTGATTCCTTCTTATTGATCTCTATCAATGTATTTTATTTTGGAAAATCTGGGATGGAAATCATCTGGATATGGAATTATTAAATGAATTTTTTTTGTGTGTATGATGGTCTTTTTTTAAATTTCAGTGAAAGTTTACACAGCATTTTAGGTTCCCATTCAACAGTTTCTACGCAAGTTGTTCAGTGACATTGGTTACAATCTTCACAATGTGTGAACATTTGCATTATTTTTGTTCTTGTTCCATTTCCATTAATCTAGTTTCCCTGCCCCCTTACATTCTCATCTTTTTTTAAAGTAAATGTTGACCGCTTGGTTTCAGATAAGTGATTTTTTAAGGCACACAGTACTTATGGGTAATATTTATAATTTTTTTTAGCCAATTTGTTTTTTAACTACAAGATGACCTCAGAGGTTAGTTTCAGTTCAAGGTTTGAAGGCTATTCACAGCCAGAGTCTCATGGAGTCCTCCAGTCTCAACCAGTCCAGTAGGTCTGGTTTTCCTTTTTCTTCCAGTTTG